TTGTTTCAAAAGAAACTCATCGACACTGTACAATTCAATATCCAATAAAAGGATTTTTAGTCGGGTACAAAACGTTTCATCGTTTCTAACACTTTTCAGGTCTGTGGGTAGATGTTCGTAGAATCGGGGACCTATTACCCGCGGATTTCTAGTTGCAAGTTCGGTACGGTGGGCAACGGATTTTAGTGTTCCCGCGTTTCGTAACGCTCGGCCTCCGCCCGTACGTCCCTCATAAGTAGCCAAGTTTTTACGCGCATAAACTATTATATCATAAATATATTGTGAGTACATGGTCATTATATTGTATTTCTTAAAAAGGTTTCTGCAGGTCTGACCCTTTTTTATGCCTACTATTGTTCTTAGTGCACGTTTTTGAAGAATAAATACCCTAATCGACGCAGTTGAATTACCCCACAATGTGATGCCATAAGACATCAACGAATGAAAATATGCATAATACGTCTGCCTCAATACCACATTGGAGACAAGAGGACGTAGTTTCCTCAGTGCGTATGCAGCACTTCCAAGTTTTTGACATAGAGTTTGTATATGTGACTTCCAGTTCAAATTTGAGTCTAGCGTTAAACCCAAGAATTTACAGGTGTTACATAATGGAACAATGGAGGTGATTATTGGCTTTGTTATAGAATTTCTTCCTGAGAACAACATAAGGTTTGACTTCGATTCGTTAAGAATAAGTCCATTCGCAGAGAACCACTCACACAGCTGCTCATACGTGCAGGCTAATTTTTCTTCCAACTCGTTGTAGGTTTTAGCACACACTATAACGGTTGTATCGTCCGCAAATAGAACCACAAGACTCCCTGATATAAAGTATGGCAGATCATTGATGAATGCCAGGAATAGTGTATTACCTAGGGCAGATCCCTGTGGGATGCCAATGGTGACGTCACCAGCCGCTGACCTAGTTGTTGTACCGTTTGTACTGACCTGAACCGTTTGCCGTCTGTTTGATAAAAAAGACTTTAATAGGCTATGGGCGACTCCGTTGACGCCATACACAGCTAACTTTTGAATTAATAAATCATTTTCAATTACATCGAACGCCTTTGTTAGGTCACAAAAAATGCCTGCAGTTTTATACTTATCATCTATACTGGTAATAATAGAATCTACTATATTTTGTGCTGCAACTACGGTGGATTTACCTTTCCTATAAGCATATTGTCTATCTGATAACAAATCGTTCATTTCGAAATGATCCATAATACTTGTTGATATAATAGATTCTATTATTTTTGATATATTCGGAACTATGGTTATCGGTCTGTGGCTTTCAACATGGGTCACGTCCCCCTTCCCCTTGAACACTGGACATACACGAGTACTTTTTAAAATATTAGGATATATACCTTCTCTAAACATTTCATTTATTAAAATAACGAGTATGTCTCCAATCACTGGCCACACCGACATTAATATATTTATAGATATATCGTATATGTCCAGCGTTTGTGACGTATGCCACATACCCCTCACTACCCCCTCCAACGAGTCACGAGTGACAGTTGGAAGGCTGTACTGAGGAACATCGCATTCACCCACGCATTTTCTTAAAAATGACATTGATTTTTCTTTATTATTGTGTAGATGTAATTTTGAAGTTATTGTAAGAAAATAATCATTGAAGTAGTCAGGTATCATGTCTACAGGCACAATATCTCCCTTGTGAGTCAGTCGAACGTTTTGTTGGTGATTCCTAGTTGAAACCTCATCGTTCACAATCTGCCACATTACCTTACTCGAGTTTTTAGAAGACATCATCTTATTATCATTAAATAGACGACGATCACGCAAACTCATAGATTTTATTAAATTTTAATGATGTTGGAGACATTTATTTAAAACATTATCATGTGGAAATTGGTGTTTCATTGAGCAGAAATTATCATACATTGTAATGTGGTGGTTAAGATCTTCACTCACCCATGGAATAGTATTCCTCTTTTTTTCGAATTGTTTCGAAATCGGGCTTTGAAATTTGGTAATGATATGGCAAAATAGTTTTCAAACAAATTAAATGACATTTCGTCTCTATTTCTGGTTATACTTATACTCGATGCACGGATCAAATAATTACTCCGTCGCTTCTCGCACACACAGTGCGTCGTCTCGGGGCCTTACGCGCTAACTTAGCTTTCACACTTCCAACATTGTCGCTCCTTCATAAAACTTCCCCCCAAACTTTGCCATGCCTGATTATACATGTTTTACCAAAACGTAAGTAGTACTTAGCAAACTTTCCCCAAATAAACGTTTACCGTACCTACACAAAGTTTAGGCCTTTATCACTTATATAAATAAGTTTTACTTCTGTACTGTGGCACATTTGAATGGAAGCCTTATTGCCTTGGAAATTGTCAACTTTGCGCCAGTTCGAAAGTTGGACTGGGTGTTTCAGTCAGACTAGTTTCAGATTCAAAAGAATTCCAATATCAGTGGGTTGGTTCGTGAAGATGGGGGTGGCAGGGGCGTGCGAGGATTTTGGGGAGGGCAAGAACATCGGCCATCGCTGAATATGTTAATGCAGCGATATAACACTCCGCCGTCGCAGAAACTGCTGTGAATCTTGCCAGTTGCCACCTACTGTATCGCGACCAGACGGGGCGCAACTCGGTTTATGCACCGCAGAAATAAACTTCTATAATTGGTTTGAATATCCGAGATATGCGACGCGGTGCAAACTGCATTGGTTATCACGAATTACAGGTTTCTTACCACGATGTGATTTCATTGGAAAAGCACCAACATGTAATCAATGTTCTAAATTTATTGGGAATTAGCACCAAGGAAGAAATATCAAATCGTATTGATATATAACCAGGAATAAAGGAAACAAAAATAATTAACATCGAAGTAAAGACAAATATAGCTCGTTGAGGCAACAATTTTATTAATTCTCGTAAACTCTGTAGAATCACAAGGCAAAGGAAATTGATCTCTGAAATATTTGCAAATGTATGCCGTAAAATGGCGAAATTCGCTTTAGCCGGCAATGTTGGTAAATTCTAAACGAAGCCGTCTAAAGCGCACCCTTACTAAGAAAATTCGAAAGTATAATTCACTCCATGTTGTTGTTAACTTTTAATTTGAAACAATTATAATAATACTGTTGAAACAATTGTCACAATATTATTTTTGTAAGAAATGATACTCGTTAAAAAATAAATTAATAAAAACATTTTATAAAAACTAAAGGACCTATATGCGTCTTAAATAATATTTATCAACCATTGAACGCCTTGAAAAGTTAGTAAACAAATAAGTACAATTAACAATAGTAAACTTTGTAATATTTCTTTTTCTATTGTAAAGTTTTCTATTCAAAACTTTTCACGAGAATAAATTTGAATAATTTCAATGAACCGCTTTTTATACAGAAAGCTACTGTTGAGGTAGAAATTAATGTATTAAGTATGTATATAATGTATATATAAGATCATAGGTATTATTAAGACATAGCAATGGGATATTTGTACTATTACAGCAGATTTCTGCAGTTTAATGTTTACGAGAATTAATTATCTTAGATATTGAAATAATGGTGACGATGTTAACCTTCTTCATCGTCATCCTGAGATGAGAAAACTGAAATTACATACAGGCTACGCAATATAGAGTCTGAGAGCGGCCTCTTATTCGTGGTATGTAGCATTAATCGGTTCTACGCAATCTTTTAATTTTCCAAAATAGTTCCTCTTTAAAGGTGGCACATATCAAGAATGTTATCCTTGAACTTTGGCCAATGGAGTGTAGTAGGGGTCCTGGTGCGCAACGCGGCACTCGATCTCTCCCATCACAATTCACTTTGAGCGGATTTCTAGAGCAGCTTCACTCACACGACCCGCTTGGATCTGCTCGGCGATGACTATGCAATTCTCCGGCTTAACTGAATTTAATCCCTTGATAATTAAATTGAGTTGCGCCCTTTTGTTTGTCTACTGTGCTGCTTACGAGCACTACGCAAGTGCTTCACGAAAGCTGATTAGTTCGCTGCAACATTTAAACTAGAACGAGGATTTGATGTGCATTTTGCATTAACAACTATTACCTAATTGAAAAAGTTTAAAACCTAAGACTTTGCGAGTAACCAAAAACTAGGCATTTTCTAAAAATAAAGCTAAAAATTTTGATTGATTGAATCATGATGTACTTACAAAGTCATTGTAACAATATTTGTCTCTTTAAGCAAAAAATAAATTCATTAGTTTGGCAGCAATTGAGCTCTTTGTGAAAGAGTTCATCCAGGGAATTACTGCCACCTAACCTATTTCTGCTGCCAAGCAATAAGTAAGTAACGCTTATACTGCGTTTCGGTTTTTAAGGGCAAGGGTGCTGGCGAAATTACAGACACATGGGATTTGTCAACTTATGTCTCAGGGTAACGGGCGCAGTGGCAGTGCTCCTCAGACATTTGTGATTTAAAGCTCTGCGTGGCACTGCAACTGTTATGGATAGGCGTGTCGCTTATCATCAGGCGTGCGACTTGTTCGTCATTGTCTTGTCATGGTATTATAAAAAAAATAAAACATTTTATCTTGTGAAGATAACAACTCAATGCGATTGTAGTTCACCCCTCCAAGCGCGAAAAAGAGTTATTCATGCTTCACATTTTGTCTTAGCTAAGCGATTTGTTTCTTTCTAAAACAAAGACTTCACTATCTCGTCTTCAATAAGATTGTGTTTAGATTTCGGAACAGGGATTGGCTAAATAAAAACAAAGGCGAATTAAGATTCAGGCCGGTCGTTTTACGATTCTTCTTCATGGATTCTAAAATGCAATAGTATTATTCCATTTGCTTTCGTAAAGTGTACTTCGGATCCGTTATTTTCCAAAGTTAAGGGTTTTCACTCCACTTGACCTTTACTGGCCTCATTTGTTATGCGCATTTGTAAGACAAAGTTATAACTAAGTTGAAATAAAACGTAGTATTTCTTTGTAGTTTGTGATAATAGGTAAAATGTTCTTGTATACTGACCATGACTGCGTTGATTTTGAAATCCATGTGGTTTTTCACTTCAGCGGCGAGGTCTCGCACCAGTAGCAGCCCATCTTTGCGTACCACCTCTACGTTGTATTCGTGATATTTCTGTGAACATAAAGCACAATTTCAACATTGGCAATTTACACATTTGGATTATTCGTGTTAAACGTATAATAACTGTAGGTATATATACAGCAAAATTGACTGAATTCAGAGTGCAAACTTCCTATAAACGTAATAATACTTCAGTGCAAATAAACTAGTACTAGTAATATCTGCGTAGAGCAGGCATCGCGTAATTTAATGCTTTCACGAGCACAGATAAACATTGGCAGGCATGTAGCGCTCGCATAATTTGCGAAAATGACAACAATCGTGTCGCATTCGCGCTACATTACGCGCTGAATTATTGGGCCCAACATGGCGGCGCGTCCGACGGGACTTGTCAAATTTAAAAATGGAACGAACACGTCCGGAATTTGGCGGATGCTGGGTGCCAAATTATTGTTATTCGGCTGAGGCGCCCGCCCGCCCCGCTCGCTGCTTGTTATTGAATTTTGAATTGTGCCCGAGACGTCGCCTTTGTTATGCTATCAAATCTAACGAGGTTTCTGTGCTTATAATATTTTTACTGTCATAATATTTTCTCTGCATTCCGTGTTTACTCAACTGAAATATTGGAATCGTTCGTTCGCTTTTGACTTGATGTGAATATAATCGTATCTGAGATTCATAACAAAAACTTTAGACAGGTTTACCGGTTTACTACAAAATGGATATGAAAACAGGCTCGAGTTGAACTAATAAGGGTAAGTACGTTTTTACGTCACGGCACCGGCCACGTCTGATGTTTACTCAATAATAAAGTTTATTTTGAGGGTATCTTTCGATGCGGGTGAAAAATAGCGTCGAGTGGCAGTGTGGCCGGAGCTCGAGACGAGTTCTCAAAGTACTACATTGTTTAACCCGCGACTGGATTTAATCGATAACCCAGCCGAGTTTGTTCGATACGTATACATAATGTAAGATGTTATCTGCGAAATAGGAAGTTTTTGCTCAGGTTAAATAGGTTAACGGGCGGTTAATTACGCAGGGCTTAGAATCTCAATTGTGGTCGCGGGTTCGCCTAATAGGGGCTATAGAAAGTCAAAACGCTCCTTTTAAAATAAACGATAATGATATGATAAGATTACTTGGAGTGTCTTAATTTTTCATAGTTAAAGCCTTTACCGATTACAGAATAACATACTATGTAATGTTTGTAATAAATGTTGAATTCCAAAATCTTCTAAAAATAAATTGATACATTTTTCTCTGGAATGGAATGAAAACATTGAATTCACTAATTAGCCCAATGCGTTTCTCTTAAAAAAGTAACAGAATAAATTGTAAATAATCTGAAATAAGGCTGACTGTGGGGCGTCCGGCCGCTGACCGGCGGAATTAGGAGAGTCGGTAGCCGCGAGCCCCTTCATTATGGATTAAAGACGGGGACTCAACGACACGATTCACAACACATTAATTAATTCGCTTGTCGTATTCTATCAAATAAAGGGTTTGTATCGTTTAATGCAATGGAAGCGGAATCGGGTTTAATTTTCAAACGATCGTCGTGGAAAAGTATTATTCGTTTCAATTAAATGGAACGTTTTATATTTATATTAATTGAATGCGGAATCAATTATCCATTAAACTTAGTTAAGTTATATTTAACATCGTATGGTTAGGTATAGTTACAATATTTTCTACATTAAATGGCTGTATAACCATTGTGAATTCCATGTACACCGCCCACAGCTCGTAGACGTAGGAGTTAAACTATGTTGTAGCACGTCACGGCGTAGCATAGTTTAGCTGCTTAAGATGTTCATTGATTAACTAACGCTTGCATGTTCTAGCCTATATTATAGTTTGAAAGCCATGTTCTGTTCGTAGTGGTTCATAATGTACATTGATTAAGGTTTTGCTTAGTAAAGCTAAAGTTGGGTCGAATAAAATTCCGGCTATGTCGACGGTTCAAGGCATAATTGACTTAAATGCTCAATTTTATGACCTTAACTTGTATGCATACATACTTGACTTAGAAGAGTTTTTCTCTGGGCTTAGTAGGATAAGAGCTCCTTGTGACAGAGTTCGTCCAAGGAAGTGCTGCCACTTTACCTATTTCTGCCGCCAAGCAGTAATGCAAGGATTACTGCGTTCCAGTTTTAAATGGTAAAGGACTTTACGGTCCTGTAAAGTTTATATGTTTCATTTATGCGAAAAGGTCACACGTAAATATAGTTTAAATATACTTCTACAAATGTTAAAAACAGGACAGAATATAACTATCACGTGCTGGTAGAGTTGCTTGACTTGAGAAAATAGTCACGCGCAAGTGTTATTTGGATTTTGATAAATATTTATCGTTCTTATTATTATTAATAGTTATTTGACGTTTTTAGATAAAAACCAAGTCAACACGACTTGAACGATATCAACATAATAATATTACAAGACACTATTACAAACTTCAATTACTTTACTTTTCAGTGGCAGTGGAGCTCCTTGTGAAATAGTTCGTCCAGGGAAGTACTGCCATTTTACACACACACACACACACACACACTTTACACAGTGGTTTTGAAAGGTAAGGGTGCTAATTGGGTGAAATTACTGGTAAAAGGGTGAAATTACTGGTACACGGGACTTGTCAACTTATGCATCAGGGTGACAGGCGCAGTGTCAGTGCCCCTCAGATCTTTGCGATTTAAAGCTCTGAGCGGTACTGCAATTGATATGGACAGGGGTGTAGCTTACCACCCGGTACACGACGTGTTCGTCCCGTCACTTGTTATTATAAAACAAAAACTTTCTACGTATGAGTTCCACTCACATCTAAAACATTTTTTGTTTGGCTTTTTAGCAATATTTTGCCACGTATCGAATGATAAAACCACATGTGATCATAATGTCAACAATGTTTCTATTACATGAAAATCGTAAAAATAATATTAACTACTTACATAAAACGAATTATGTTTAAATGAAATTTTATAACTCTTATGTTTAAGCATAAAAAAGTTATCGATTTATTTCGTTCTTAGAATTTTAAGCCTCTCTTCTGAAAAGTTGTCAATTTGCAGATGTAGAAACGTACTTATGTCTATTTATTGTATATATAAAAATATTCTATTTTCTTCCCTGGGAAACCCAAGGACCGGCAGCTACCTTACCCAATGCATTAGCATAGCAACACAAAGGGGGAACGCAGCCAGCATCTTGGGCAACTTGCCGCAGGGACCCAATTTTATTCATTATAATTTAATTCTAGTTTCCCTTTCTCGTATTTAAGCCTTTATTGTATTACCTGTATATTATGAAATAATGATACGAATAAAAATGAAAACTTAATTGTTTAATATTTTAAATATACATTACCTAATTTCTGGGTAAATTCATAGTAAATTCTAATACTAGTGCTCAAGTACTTTTTACTAACATATATTATGGATTGTAAATGTCTGAAATAAATAAAAATATATAATAATCAAGATGAATACATCTATAATATAATAATAATATTACATGAAAATTTCTGTTCAATCTTTTCTGTGTCATGTAAATTGAATGGTAATGAATAAAATAATAACTAATATTGTTTATGAGTTTGCATTGAATAAAAAAAATATGACCAATAAATTGATAACAATTAACACCCATGTTGCTGTAATTAGGCCACATACAAAATGAGAACTTCTCAGGACAGAGGCTTAAAAGAATCTACGAACGAAAATTTTTCTATTTTTGTATACTTTAAAATTTATAAAATTTCACATAAACAATTTACTTATTTTTGTGAATGTCATGTGATAGTCAGTTGTCGTGTGACAGACAGTTAGCTTCGGTTCGGGCTTTTAGTGGTGCCTTTTTGAAATCTTGGGATTATTCAGACTCCTCACGTTAGAGCTTACAAAAAGTCAAAATGTTTATTTACATTTCACATATTTATTTATAGTCTTATTTTATACATTCGTTTTATTATATATTTTATGTGTGTTAGTGTATCAACATGTACTTAATATTATGTCTTCGTGTGTACAATTGATATAATAAATTTATTCTTTAATTATTGGATATGAAGCATTAAATTTCATGATTTATTCGATTTTATTGCCGATCTAGGAGCCAAGTACCCTTTCAATTATCCAAAGGCTAGACGGTACACAGAACGAATCGCTTGTTTTTACAATACAAATATGGTTTGAATATCTGCCGCTTTACCCCACATGAAAATTCCGTAGGACATTATACTATGGAAGTAACTAAAGTAAACTAGTCTAGCAGTACTAACATCGGTAACGTCTGCGGACTGCGTATGCAGCGGAGCTTAATCTGCTGGCCAGGGAAGATATATGTGGAAACCATTGAAGTTTACCATCTAAGGTCACTCCCAAGAAGACTGCTTTACTAACAAGGCTTAACTTTTCTCCGTTTATTTCTATGCTTGGACT